GAGAAGTTGAGAAATATTAATTAAAAGTCATATCAAAATTCGTGACCTACATTGCTGATCATTTCCCGATTCCAAACAGTGAGTGTACATGTATACAAAACTTTATTGTCGTTCCTTATATAGTTTATGAATGTACATGTACGTTGTGTTTTGTGAATTTTAATCTTGTATGTATGTAATACGATAACTACCTCTTTATTTTCTGCAGCATTGGAAAAAGTAGCATTATTCATCCTACTTAACATGCATGCATATAGGTCAGAAATACGAGAATACTACATGTACATATACTTCGCTCTTTCTTATAAATAGAGAATCTTTTAATTCTTAAAATAATATTCAAACGTACAGTACATTCTTCAAGCATATCTCCATAAATGAAGTTTCAATATATAAACCGCTTTATCAAATTTTTGACTGTCATCCTGTTTTCATCCATTGTTGCTGCAAGACCAATTCATAAGTTGAAGAGAGATATTGACACAGGTATCACTGCAGATTCGCCTGGCGTTGTCAGTGGCAATAACGTTCAAGTACCTGTACATATACCAGTTAATGCTTGCGGAGATAATAACAGTGTTATCGGTCTATTAGCTCAGTTTTCTGAAGAATGTAAAAATAACTGATATTAAAATATGATTTCATTTTAAAAAGACTAGCTATTCAACCATTTTCTTTACATATATTATGGGATTAAATATATTTAAAGTTAGGTAGATAGTTTATATACAATGTAAAAGGAAGTATTTCATATACATGTACGTGTCATGATTCTTGTTATAAATATATATTCATAGACAGAATATTATCATTTTACATATAAAAAATCCTTATAAATTATCATAATCAATCTTGATTTCAATATATCGATACAAATAGTAGCACTAGCCTTTGTTATAAATAATTAGCACAATGCAATGCATGTGAATGAAGGAGTTTGCAGCAAAACTCATCATAATTGATAAAAGTACACAGCATATCGATAAATCAATATACGCTCTTCATTATAGAAAAAATCAATCAAATATAAACTCGTCACGCAAGTATAACAGTTTACAAGATACAGTACATCAAAAACCAATAATATCTTCTCCACCATATTAAATTTTACAGCCTGTGTGTAGTATTATTTTTTTGGGAACTGAAAATATTGTGTTGAGTTGAAAAATTAATTGTATCGTTACTGAACATTGTGTTATTTATAATTACATTTAAATGTTGACTTACGCAAGTTATGTGATAGAGAATCTGAATAAAAGAAAGTATTCTTGGTAACAGCACAATGAGCTACTATATTTACTGAAACAAATTTCCAATTTACTAATTTGGATTCTGAATTTTCATTACTTCCGATTAGAGTCAGGATAAGGGTAAGTTATTAGGTGAGAAAACAAGATTATATGTAAAGTTGCCTCCTGATTGCTTCAATTAATAATCCAATACAGCTTTATGCAACAATTTTCTCGTAACGGTCATATCTTTGAGTCGGATTTGTCTCTTCGGGTGAACGGATTAGGAAATTTGAGATTCACTTTATCTGCAAATAGGGATGTTTTGAATTTGACGTTGGACAGATACAAGAGTTTCTTTTTGGTACGAAAAGATGTATTGGACTTTTGCAGGTCTCTGGATTGCTCCATTTGTCTAGACTATCTCAGGCAACATTATTAAAAATTTCAAACACTTAAACTTTATTAAATTTGATAGTATATACGTACATGCATACATGTACATATACAAAGGTTCCTTTTTAGTGTGCAAATTCAACAATAACGAAAAAGATAAAAGCTACATGTGTTTGTGTGCAAAAAAAGACATGCATTAAAGCAAGCTTATTTAGATATATAGTTATTGTTATTACGTGTGTTTTTATCACTAGATTAGCTATTTAATTCATAAAATAGTGATTATTTGTTCATAAAATAAAATAAAATTGCAATTACATGTATTTATGATACAACCAGTGATGATTAAAACTTTACTCAAATTTTATAATATATCATGTGATTTTTATGTTCAAGATATGTATCAGATTGTTAAATTAAAATGAGAGAGTCTTCAAATGTTTTTGATTTGATGAATTGGAGGTGATTTAAATAAAATTGTGAATTTTTCAAAAGTTATTATAATTTGAATATATAATTAATTTATAATATTAAAAACCAATATATTACTTAGTAATTTAATAAAATAATAATCACAAACTTTAGTAAATTACTCAAATTTTATGATTTAAATCATTGATTCAGACCAGTAATTTAAATAATATTAAAAATTTTTATTAAAATATTTTTTTTGTTATAAGTAACTTGTTTTTAAAATTTAAACTAATTAAATTTGATTAAAAATCAAAAAAAATAATTATATCAGTTTTTAATAATCTTATTCAAATAAGTAAACTATAATATTTCTATTTACAAGTATGAGAATTTAAATAAGATGAAATTAAATATATATTATAATTTATTAAAATAATTAAAGTTATATTTAATATAATTGACTAGAACAAGATTTAATTTCAAAAAATAATTTTAATATAATCTGACACAAAAAGATTGGTATATCAGATAAATATTAATAGATTATTTTTTCAAAATAAAATTTTAATTATATCTTATTTAATTAAGTTATTATATATTAGAATTTATTTAAATATAAAAATTTTTATTATAAAATTTAATTAAAAAATATAAAAATTATATAGTAAATAATTTAATTACTAAATTTTGAATCTTAATATCTTTATAACTACTGATTCAATTTTTATAAAATTTAAAATATATATTTATCAAATCTAAAACAATCTGCTTGTATAGTTTAAAGTTTTAATCTTGCAAATTGATAGTGATAATATTAAAAATATCTTTTTTTTTTAAAAAAAATAATTTTATTTTAGTTTTTTTAGTAAAATAATACTTTATTTATTATTAAATTAAAATAATATAAAAAGTTAATTTAGATTATTCTTTATTTAATATAAAAAATTATAAAGATTAGTTAAAATTTTAATAATTTTTATTAGAAGTAATTATTAATTTTATATTGATATAATAATCTTTTTGTACCAGTCTATAATATAATAATTAATAATTAATACTAATAATAGTTTATTAATAAAATATTATAAATTAGTAATTAATCTATTTTATAAATACTAAGTATTTAAAATATAATATTTATATAAAAAAATATCTATATTTATATAGTATTTATATTATTTTAATATTGTTATGATAAATTAATAAGTGAGTTTTCACTTGAATTCATCTTAATAATATAGAATTGAGAGAAACTGAATTAATTAAAAAACAAAGAGAGAGAAATTAGACTATACTTTCAATAATAACAAAGATTTCTAAGGTCTGTACTAATATTTATAGATATTGTCTTTCAAAGAAAAAATAATAAAAGAAAAAAATAACTTAATTTAAAAAAATTATTATAATTAATAAGTGAAGTGATTATTAATTAATAAAACTAAAGATTTATAATAATTAATAAGTAAAGTCACTATTAATTAAAGAAAACTATAATTAAAAAATATAATAACTCATATAAACAAAAATCAAAATCAAAATAATCAATTAAAAATTATAATAACTAATATACATGAAAATATAAATAAAAAATATAGCTTATTTTAAGTAGAGATCTTTTATTGAGATGTATTAACATAATTTAAAAAGAATTAACTATAAATTTATGTTTTTCAAGTCTGAATTTATTTTATCTATGAGAGCAGATCCTTTTATATATTTTTCAATTATATAAATAATTAAAGAATTATTAATTAATTCTATCTAAATATACATATTATAATTTTTTATAATTGAAATACTGTGACTAAAATATCAAAATAATTGAAATACTACAACTAAAATATCAAGTTTCTTATATAATTAAAGTTAAAATATTATGTATAAAGATTTTTAGAAGAATAAAATATATAAGAGATCTATAACTATATTAATCAATTAATCTATTATATACATGAAAAATTAATATGAATTAAAAAAGTAAATCTCAAATTTAGAATAAATATAATATTTAAAAGTATAATTATAAACTTGAAATTTAAATATTATTATGACAAATTGGTAAGTGGAGTTTCACTTTAATTTATCTTAATAATATAGGGTTGGAAGAGACTGAAATAATTAAAGATAACAAGAGAAGAATTAGACTATAACTTTCAATAATGACAAAGATTTCTAAGATCT